TCAAAAAATATCCTCTCAAAGTATTACAAATTCTCATAAAATAATACCAATTACTGGGGAAAAATTATCACACTACTTGAGAATAATAATAATTCAGCATGTACTAGCAATATTGAGATTGATTCGGTGATGCAATATAGAACTTCTGTTTCGAAGTATTAAAAGAACTTTAATCTTCTAAATGTTCACATTCGTGATATGTCCATGTATAATTACCACTAATCCCAGGACCTTTCAACTATTAGATTAGGTTGAGTTTAATTAATTACCATTAAAAAATAATTATTTAATTTATTCAACACCCCTGCTCATACATATACGAATATTAGTTGTACTAWYGAGGCAAACATATAGACTATCATTATTCAAATTAGGGAGGAATAAATATGTAAGATTTAAAGTTAAGATCTTCTACTCCAATAGTATGCCAAATTACCACCAATCTGATAGGCCTCCAATCTGTTACACTTGTACTTGGCACAGAATTTGAAAGGTCGATTAAGGGTTGGGGGCAGGTAGCAATTGTACTTTGAAGATTTTATGGGTAGTTATAGATAATTAGAGCTAGGGGAGAGATGTACTATGTGTTGATCTTATGAGTAGTTAGTAAGTCGGTTATATGTGTATATTTGTATTTAGTAATTGAAAAGGAGAGAGAAGACAGTCTTTGTCTTGAATAGAACTAAATTGGAGAGCATCAGACTCTTCTCAAAGGTCTAAACTAGAGTGTAATTCTCCTTAATACTATCAACAAAAGGTAATTAGTCTGTAAATATGCTAACGGAATCCTACAAGCCTGTGTAGGATTCTTATTAGAGACCATGCACCCAAGGACCATGGTTGGTCATTAGAGACTTAAACGCAGTTAGGTTCTCAAGCAAAGAACTTGGTAGTAGACAATGAGATGGACTAGAAATTTGGGAAGAAATAAAATTTTTATATTTCTTCTATATTCTAAATCAAATACAATGTCTTCTTAGAAAAAAAACCACATACAAATAAGGAAAAAACAATACATAAATATTGACATAAATATGGACAACTATTTTTTTTTTTACAAGGGTGTCGGAGCTCTGCTCCCATATAACCAGGGTACCCACACCTGCCCCAAGGCTGGACCCAAGAGAAATCAAGGATTTTTGGTGCTAAGGTTCGAACTTGAGACCTCTAAGCCAGTATGACCAAGAAGCCGCAAGCCCTTACCAGCCCCGTGGGAGCTATTACATATGGACAACTAATATGTACAAAAAAAGATTAAAAGAAATCCAACGGCTGTATTGACATCTGTTTTAGCTCTCGAGGACCTTAAAGTCACTGACCAAAGTATGTACAAAAAAAGATTAAAAGAAATCCAACGGCTGTATTGACATCTGTTTTAGCTCTTGAGAACCTTAAAGTCACTGGCCACTTTGGTCGTGCAGCAACCAGTCTAAAAGATTCAAGGAGAACTGTAGGTAGGTTGGACAAGACCCTAAAAAGTTATGTATCATATGCAAATTAAATTAGGTAATACAATTTTTGAGGTACTTTTTTAACCTTCTAAAAACAAAAGTCCATTCTGAAGGTTAACCTTCTTAAAGATCTTTGACTTTCCATATTCATTCAAAGAGGTTATGATTAAGGATTGTAGTCCCTTTCTACAAGCAAGAAACATTGGGCACAAGAACAAGTTCAATGGTCCAAAGAAAAATCCCCCTTTCCACCATGACCAAACCCACGACCTCCTATTAACTTCAGCAAGGAAATTACGTTTTAATTCACCTAATGACTGCCTCCCAATATAACGTATATATGTACAGATACAATACACACACAAACATATACATGCACAGTAGATAAGGCAGTCATTAAGATACAATCCACATTACCAATCAATCTCGTTTAATAGAATTCATTGTGTTAACTGTAACTCAAAAGCAATTTATAAGATTTATTTTGTATTTTCTTACTTAAGCTCTTTGAATCTATACAAGATATAAGTTTGCAAGAGAATTTCTTTTGATAAGCAACCGAACTTTTCATTATGACAAATGAAAATAGAAGCATATGAAGGGCATACAAAAACAAAAGCCAAAAAGGAGGAGCCCTATCTAAAGAAAGGGCTTCCAATCCAAAAGAGTAGAACCAAGCTGTGCAAGAGAATTTCAATATGGCAATAAAACTTTTGATTGTTATACCTATCATTGGCTAGATTCCAAGCTTCTTGCCTCAGTTCTGGAGGTGTTCCAAGGGTCGCAAGGTAGTTCGATATGAACTTATGCGGATGTTCAACATGACAAATGAAGCCCATCTCTTTCAATATGTGCCTCTCTGTTCTGCTCAACTCCATCTTTAAGTCAGCATATTTCTAAGTCAATACAACAAAATTATTAAAATTTGATGTAAACTGTAAAGATTAAAATTTAAATTTAAAAAAAAAATAGGAGATCAATTAAGTGAAAAATGTAAAAGAATAATGAAACAACTATAACATCGCCAAGACACAAACAAAAAGAATATATATGAATATATTAGCAAAGCTAGATTGCACAATATTTTATATAACAAAAGAATAACGATTTCCAACCATGCGTTTAAGAATGAGGAAAGCATGGATCTTAAGATTGAAAATGAAACCTAAAGTTAAAACTTCAAATTCAAACCTTAAGAGTATGGTCCAAGAACTCTATGGGTAAGTTCTCTCTTCGACATTCCATTCTATGGAACACAATGATTACTTGTCTGGCTTTCCTCGGGCTTTCCTCCAACTTTGATGCAAGCCACACACAACTAGCAGCAACTTTCTGCAGGAGATTGTCATAAACCAGCAAAGCATCACATCAGAAAAATTAAAGAAAATATTTTTTTTTTTAATAACTAGGAGTTGGAGCTTTGATCCCCTATACCCATGGACGCTCGCGCTAAAAAAAGGAATTTTAAAAAGAAAAGGAATCAAAATGTAAATCCTTGACGTTTTTAGAGCTTATACAACTATCAGACTTAATTAAGCAATGATTATGTCTACTAAAATGTTGAAGATCACACAAAAGCATAAAAATAAGAATTTTTTTAGATAATGAAGGAATGGAAGGTTTAGAGGGGCGAGAGAGGTCTTAGCAAAAAAAAGTTTCTAGTAGGCTAGAATAGACAAAATGGAGCAATACAAATAACTGTAGTTAGACCAATCCAAGTAGGATTTAGTTATTATTTACCTTCCATTCAATTACAGAAAAAAATAATATTTGCAACGACAGTAACCTTGACATTGAAGCGGGCAAATGATTTCTTGCAATAGAAACGGTGGAAGAGAACTTGTCCAGTAGCCATGACAGCTTGAGGCCTGAAAGAAGCAATTTACGAAAAAAAAATGTAAAACTACACCTGTAGTATATACACACACACTCTTGCTCCCATATCATAAATAAAAACCATGGCATAGAGTTAAAGCAAGAAAATACAATTTAAGCAATATGCCAGCCTCCTGGATAAGATCGCAACCATAGATTCTAAGAGTGGTTTCAGTGGCTTCGTCAATCCCGTCCTTCCTCGAAGGTGAGTTCGTCAACTGCTCATCAGTGAGATAAAAGGTGTCAATAGCCGTGTAAATCATCGGACCTGTGAAAGAAAAAAAGAACCAACTTCACCTCTCAAATTGAAATCACCAGGTACAATTGAAGAGACCAGCTTTCTAGTTTTGGTAATTAAAACAATCACACCAAGTCCTCCAGAAAACGTCTCGAAAGCGATAAACAGCATTCAAAAAAAATTACAGAACAACCAAGTGCTAAACTCCAGAAAGGTGCTTATATTTGGATCGACCCAGTTCCAAATTTCAGATATAACAACGGTAGGAAGGTCCATAATCGAGAGTTAACCACTAGGAACATTGCTCAGAGACTGTGAAGAGATTGAACATAAACAGAAACTGAAATTAAGAACAAGGAAATAAACAACATAATACCGAAAGGGGGCGAGAAACCCGGAGGTTTTGGTGCTATGGAGAGAGCAGTAGAGAGAATGATGATGCGAGAAAACTGCAGAGATCTCACAGTCACCTGAGGGCTTGTCGAGATAGAGAGAGAGACAGACAGAACCGATGGGTTCGGTCGATTTTCGGTTTGGGCTTATTGGGTCTTTCGTTAGAGGACAGGATTTATCGGGCCACGATCCTGTAAGCCGCGATGGTGAAGGAGGGAAGTGTGAACCAAAGAACAGCGGATCTTGGTGGGCGGGGCGCTAAATAAAATGGAAGAAGCACATTTTTTCAGGAAACCCATAAAGAAATGAAAGGTATAAATGAGTGAACTAAACAAAAATGGGCAGTGATGCCAATTCGTTGAGCTTGAATGTCAAACTGGAAAAAGAAACTGGACCAAGAAAATTTATGCAAAAAGCAAATTTACAACTATCATCTTTATATATATGAGATGGGGAAATCGAACTTCAAGGCGGCGGAATCGAACCTGGAGTGCGGCGGCGACGGCGGCGGGAGCAGTCCGGCGGCGTCTGAGGAATCGAAAGGGAAGCAGAATCGAGTCGTGATTGCGTGAATCTGAGAGAAAATGGCGAGCGAGAGCGACTGAGAAATCGAGCGGGAGAGGGAAGCGGAGATTAGGGTTTTTCAAAATTATATTTGTTATTGGGTTGGTTCGGTCCGAGATTTTGAGTTTTTTATATAAACCGAGCCAATCGAAAACTTTTTTATCTTTTTGAAACTTGAAAGTAACCAAAATAAATGTTTGAGATTTTCCTCTATCTAAATCGAACCAAACTCGTGGATTTAGATTGGTTCGCATTTGGATTTTCGGTTCATCGGTTTTTTTAATGACTCCTATCGATTATGAATCATGGTTGCAATAAGATAAAGAGGGAATTACTTTGGGATCCTTTCCAAAAAGAAAATAATTACTTTGGGATAGAAAATAGTGTGTATATATATATACTATTTTTTATCTGCCGAGGATCGCATTAGGAAGTTGATATGTTTTATCCAGTAAATTTGAATGCAATTCGATTGGTTGGTATAATAAAATAAGAATAAGAATATAGGTTGAACGATCAAACTTCAATCAAGCGGTTGCCTTTTAACTCGTCTTAGCCTTTCTGTACATTGCAGAATTGGCCCTAAAAGATGTAGAAAAATGAAATGGAGAATCAATTTTTGTATATTTACTTTGAAACTATTACAGTCCATATATAACCAAAAAAAAAATACAACAAGATCCTATTTTACCGCCTAAAAATATGCCAATTAATTATAAATAGAATATTTACACAATCTGTAAATATTTGACCAGAGATTTTTCTCGTTAGAATGCTCACGCCAACACTCTCCTCAAATTGTGAACATATATCAGTCATGTCTACCTTGTTAGGTGAGCTTCGAAAATCTTGTTTAGATACTTTGTTAGAATATCTGCTAGATCAACAGAGCGAAGACTAATTGAATCTTTGTCGAGATGATATTTGATAAAGTGTCAATCAACTCCAACATGTTTGGTTCTATCATGTTAAACCATATTATTTGCAATTGCTATGGATGCTTTGTATCACATAACAACATCATAGATTTTGACAGACAATCTCAAGATCGTGTAAAATACGTTTTATCCATGGCAAAACTCATATACCTTGAGCCATTCCACGAAATCCTGTCTCTACACTTGATTTTACTACCACATTTTATTTCTTGCTTCGCTGTATAACCAAGTTACTTCCAACCAATATAAAATACATTGATGTAGACTTTCGATCAGTTTGACTTCTAGCTCAATCCGCATATGTATGCCCTTGATTTCCATATCTCAATTTTTTGCAAAAAATAATCATTTTCCCGGAGAAGACTTCAGGTATCGCAAGTTCTCATAAATAGCTTCATATGATCTTCACTTGGTGCAAGCATAAATTGACTAACAATATTCACCACATGTGCAATGTCAGGACGCGTATGTTAGTCTCCCAACTAATCTTTGATACATCTCCTTATTGGTTGGGGTTTGATCATGTTGAATGACTAACTTGTGATTCATTTCAATGGAAGTTTCAACAGGCTTAGAGTCAAGCATGTCAGTTTCTACTAGTAAATCCAACACATATTTTTATTGGCAAAGAGAGATTTTGCTACTTAATCTTGTAACTTCAATGCCTAAGAAATATTTTTAAGTACCGAAGATCTTTTAAGTCCAAATTCAACTTTAAGTCTTTCTTGGAGGGCAGCTATCTCGTTTAAGTTATTTCTTGTAACAATCATGTCGTCAACATACACAATAAGAGCAATCATCCTTTTAAAACTTTGCTTGATGAAGAGAGTATATGATCGGCATCACTTTGTTTATATCCAATCTTCTTCATGAAAGTAAAGAGCCTCCCAAACCACGCTAGAGGGAATTTCTTTAATCTGTATAAAGTCATTCTCAACTTGCATGTTTTACCATCACAGTTTATGCCCAAGGGAGGATCCATGTATACTTCTTCATCCAAAGTTCCATTGAGAAATGAAATTTTAATATTGAACTGGCCTAGTGGCCAATCTTGTTTTGTTGCTATGAAAATAAGTACACGTATGGTATTTATTTTTGCTACAAGAGCAAATGTATCCCCATAATCAATTTCGTACTTCTCTGTATACCTTTTAGCAACAAGTCTTACCTTGTAGCGATATATGATCCCATCAAGATTAAATTTGACRGTAAAAAACCACTTGCATCCAACTGTTTTCTTCCATCCGGGTAGTAATACAAGTTCTCATGTATGATTTTTCTGCAAGGTTTCATTTCATCATTGATAGCTTTCTTCCATTTTGAATCCATCGGTGCTTCTTGCTCATTACTTGGAATACATGTTGGAATTAATTTAATAATTAATTCATATGTGGGTAACAAATTAAAGTGCAATTATATTTTGGCTATTTAATGGGCATACAAGTGATCTTAATGATGGGTCCATGACTTCCTATTTAGTGGTGTGGCTTGCTGAGTAGAAACCAAYTCATTAATCCTAGGGGATTATGGAAAACCCTAGGATTAACCTATATAAATATATGGTTATGGTCCCCAATACACTATGCTTCTTGAGCCTCCTGTGCCCCATCAAACAGAGAGTATTGCCCATATTTGGTCTGGGTTGCATAGTTGAGGAAGACCACAAATCACAACTTCTTGCAGATCATGGTCAATCTATTTAATGGTTTCAGGTAGTTATAACCATTTTATAGATTTTGGTTTTCTTCCATGCTTAGATCCTTGATCTTGATTGTTCTGGAATTTTATGGCTTTTATTTTAGATAATCATGGGTTTATTTAATTTTTCCAACAATACATACAAGGGATAATTGCTTTACAACAACTACATCAGATTTTGACAAACGATGAGAAGATGTATAATTATTAATGAGGTATTTAGTTTTGGCTTTAAGATCATGATCATATTGAATTTTTTAAATCCATATATTTATCATAATCAAATATCTTGGTTCCATTTTATAGGAGTTGATCACTCATGTATTACATGAGGTGAAGTCAAACGATGTTACCTGATCAGAAGACACCTTCAAAATTTCTATGGTTGTTGATGTGCCTTGGGAAATTGTACTATCTTGATTTTCACGAGTGCTCTCAACACTTTTATGATTTTCATGAGTGTCATCAACATTCACAGATCATATATTAATATTTGAGAATTGAACATCTGGTTGCATATCAATTTGTGTTTGCTTCATGAGAAACTCATGAGTGTTGTCTCCACTTAAATTAAGTGTTCTCCCCTAAAGAAAGCACTCAACCGTCGATTTAGGATGACTTTTGAAGAAAAAAATTATTTTTAAATATATATTTTTTTATAATTACTTCTGACTAATTTAGACTATGTCTAATATATATTTCTAAGTGATTTTTAGATATGTTTTTTTTGAAAAGTATAAGTAAAAGGCATTTATAAAAATCATATTTATTTTAAAATATTTTTTTGAATAAATACTTCAGATGGATTATTAAGAAAAAAAAAACTTTAAAGTTATTGGCTGAAGATTAGGGGATAACAAAAAAAATATATTTTGTGACAAGTATAAACACTTTTTGAATGCGGTACAACCAAACAAATTTGTCATTAATAGCATTTTTTAAAAATTGTAACTAAATATATAATAAAAAAAAAGATTAAAAATATTTAACAATAAAAGTACTTAATTAAAATTTGTGCCAAACTCACCTAAGAATGGCCTTCAAAACTCCAAGCCGAGAGTGTCAATACATTACACTTAAAATCATGAAGTTAGTCCAAGAGGTCATTATGATATTATATATTTGGAATTAAATAATAATTCTAAAGATCTATTCGCCAGTTATACTAAGGAAAGAATTTGATGGTTTTTCTTTTTTTTTTTCTTTTTGAATTTGCCACGTGGAGGTCAGAATTTGAAACTCCAATATTTTTATCCATAATTTATATATATTTATTAGTTGATCATGGATCTTTATTGGATGGAAATCTCAGATTTTTATGAGATGGTCATCCAAATGTCCGTGTTTGTTTGATAGGAATGTTGGATTCTCGGACATTCTTAGATGCCTTAGCATCCCAGGATGCCTATACGGGAGACATCTTAGCAATTTTAGATGTTGTCCTCTAACATGGATTTTTAAGATTCCCGTATTGAGTGCATATTCTTTTGACAATTTTGTCCCTCATCGTTTTTATTCTATAATATTTTTTCATCAATAATATTTATTTCTCATTTATTTTATCTTATTTTAAAAATAAATGTATGCACTAATTAATTGATAAACATCTAAATATAATTTTATTTATATGTTACATTTCGATATAAAATAAACATTAGTTAATGGTATAATATCTTAATTTGTTTTTAATTCAAATCTAGGTGCAATCTTTCGTTTATTTTACTCTTCCAATAGTCACCAAACATAAACTAAAATTGACATAAAAATATAATATTAAATTAATAAAAGTACAATTTTTATATGACTTCAAATAATATTAAATTTAACATATAAATTATATGATGACCAATAAGGGCATTTTTGGAACATTACATAAATTTAAAATATTCCCACGAATAAATCCTGCAAAACAAACATGGTTATCAAAATATTCCCAGATATCTCAAATGTGGTTATTTGAAATTCGAGACGTCTAAAATTTCGGACATATAAGATTCCAGACATCTGAAGAGTTCGTTTAATTAGAGAGTTTAAAAAGGTGAAAATGGACTTTGACATATTAAACTCATGTTAGAAAAAGAGTTTTTCCGGACATTAACACTATAAGTAGGAGGGTTTCGAAATGATCTCCCTCTCATCTTGATTTGTCTCTGCCATTTGTTTTTTCTTGGTCCGTGCATTTCTTCTTCCTTCCTTTTTTTTCCTATTTGATTTTTATTTGGTACTTTGTTATTATTTTTTTCTCATTTTGTTATTTGTTCTTTTAATTTTGATTATTATCAAAACCTCACATTTCTTTCTTACCCATAGAGATCAAGATTGAACAACCAATTAACTTTACCCCAGAACTGAAAATTTGAAGAACTACGACCACTTTTCTTTAAAATAATAATAATAATAACAAATTATTTAGAATTATTTTTAAATAATTTAACTTAAAAATAAATTCACTACCAATTATTTACTTAAAATTATCTAATGTAAATTAATTGTTGAAATCTGGTTTTTATTAATTTTAATACAAATCTAACACCATCCCCTCAACGACACATTAATCATTTAGTTAAGACACCCGTCTCCAAAAAAAAATCATGAGTTCCAATACCACCACATAATTATCTTTGGTTTTTAAGCATTTATTCTCAACCATCTTAATCTCATACTACTTTTTGAAACTTCCAACCAAACGACCTCTAAGGGTTTTGAAACGAAGGAAAATTAAGTTCTTAACATGTCTTTACCTGAAGGAACTTATCAACTTTTCATTACTTTTCTTTAAAAGCATATCTTTTAGCATTGAGAAATTTAAGTTACTAATCCCTCAAACCTCAAACGTAGCATTCGAACCAATGAACTTGAAAAGAGGTTACTCATGCTTTGACTAGCTAAGTTATGCTCAAGTTCAGCTAACGAGCGATTGTTGTTACCAAGTTCTTTCCGAAGACGAGTAGAAAAGTAGAGAAAAAGTAAATAACAAACAAGTAAAATGTCAAAAGAAGAGCTAAAAGAAAGTGAAGCTGAGAACACATGTTACGAGTTCCTGTCATTCTTAAAATCCTTACATTTATAAAAATTTGCATCCTAAAACACAAAACTATACCAACACTGCATACCAAACAAGTCCTAAACTTCTTCGTCTTTGGCAGAACCGAATTCAGTATCAAGAAAAGAAAGTGTAAGATCAGATACACTCAAGCAACACATGATTAAATAATTTCAAGGCAATCAGCAAGAAACAATCTTCTACGTCCTGTAAGAAAAAACTTCTGAGATATCTAAGAAGCTAACAAGTCGTGGTGATACGTTTACCGTCAGGAAGTCATTTGTGTGGAGTTCGAGCAAAGGTACAAACAATCTGGCAGAAAAATGTGGGCGATTCATTAGGGACCGTCCCTGCAGAAAGAAGAGGATATTGGTTCACCATGAATGACCGCCGAGCCCGTATCCGTCCATGTAACCACCTCCATGAATGTGGTCATGGGTGCCATGATCGTGGTGGTGGTGGCCGTCACTATTCCCCGATCCATCGAGTACTTCCTGAACGTGTTCGGGAATAGGCTCCTCGGCAGTTTTTATAACTGTGGGAGGTAATGTGGACACAAACTGAGCTATACTGTCAGCTACTACATCGGCTGCATCCTCCTGAGGTTAACAAAGATAAAGAGCGTATTTGAATTTGAAAGAGAAAATGAAAAGTCTATTATACAAGCAGAGATATTGAACAAAACGCGACATCGAGCAGCCCAAGTCTCGATAAAAAGATGACACAAATATTCACTGGCTAACAGAGACCATTTAGGCAAACAAAAATGATAATTAGAGAGTCAAACCAGACGAAATCAGCCTATTACCCCGACAATAGCCAAAAACAGTCATGGTTAAATAACTAAATGCATTAAGTAGAGTTTTAAGAGGGGCTCTCCCAGGCAAAAATGGCACCAGAAGCCTAAGCAATCTCTTATGGGCAAGGCTTAAGCACACCTGATGCCTCACATCGCATCGGGTGTTAAGATGCTCAACTCAATTTGTTTTTATTTTCACTTTTTTTAGACTCTTGTATGATTCAAACAAAGTTGCGGTGTATTGAGCATCTCTTCCCGACTCCCTGCTATCTCCAGTTCGAGTTCAGCAAACACATTAGTGAGTCTCTGTCTCTGTCTAAGTGGCTGACAGGACTATTGTCTCAGAACTATGCTTCCTCGATAAATTATCCGATGTCGCACCTCTCATTTGACATTTCTCTCCCATCCCTAGCCTCTCCCAACTTTACTTTCACCTATTCTATCATAATTTAATACCCAAGCACCCCAGCTCTCAATGTTCGAATTTGATGTTAAAACACATGAATTTGTTGATTTTTGAACAACCTTCATATTTAACATGTCATGGTTGATAATGTTCAATTTCAAAGTAACATATTTGTTTTAGCACCCCAACTTCACTCAAACTTATGCCTTGGGCTTTAGAAAAACAATGGTTCAATCTAAGATATGAAAATTCCGACTCGAATGCTGAAACAGCACCCATATGACGTTTTCGTTTTAAATCCATGAAAGTCCACATCCTAGAAGGAGTTAATCATACTCTTGAACCCAGCAAAACACAAAATATAGACAGGAAACTCATTACATAAACATAAGCCGAACTCATTAAAACTACATAATCAAAGAATCCTTACCTGAGCCCACCGTCCACCAGAATGTGTAACAAAAGACGCCTGTGGAAGCATGTCAGCAACCCGACGTCCCTCTGCACTCCATTCATTCGACCAACCATTCGACCAAATAACCTGAATCGGCACACTTTTCAGATCATCCAAACCACCCCATTCTGCAATGTCAAAGCTATGATTCAACTTCTTCCCCATGCTAACAACCGCCCTCCGCCCGCCCCGGCCCTTCAGAAGAACCCTATGAGCCTCCACATCCAAGGCAACATCATTCCCTTTAGAACAACATAAGTTAATCAACCTAGAATACACAAAACTGGATCCCAAAACAACCTCTCTCACAACAGGCAACTCCAAGAGCCATAAAGGAATAGAAGGCTTTGATAAGGTATCAATAAGAGTTAAACTTCTCACTGATCCTGAATTCTCTGCAACCCAATATCCAGCCATTGATAAAGCTGAATCATGAAGAACCAAATGGACTGGAGCCAAACCAATTGTATCTATGATTTGCCCCAAAATGCTACCAATCTCTTCAGGGCCTAATCCAATTGGCTTCAAGATCTTCCTCTTTGGAACATGTTTTTGAATTTCTTCATAAGGAATCTGCCCAGTTTCAACAATCTGATCAAATGCCCAGAAGACACCCTTTTCTTGAATCAAATTATAGACATCCAAAAGCCTCCCTAAAACCCCATTTGAGCTCTCGTCGATCTCAGCCGTGGATTTGTCGGAAAATCCATTTCCGGGCAGATCAAACGCCACCGCGTGAACTCCTTTGGAACCCAATGACTCCAATACCTTGCGGAAGGAGTAAGAGCTCAGCCCCAGCCCATGAACAACGACCACATTTTCGCTCCCTTTTGAGCCATTTTCAATGGCGAAAACTTCGATAGGGGACAAATTAGGGTTTATCTGTACCTTCAGAAGACGACCCTTTGAGTAATGGTGACGGAGGCTGGTGGGTAAGCTTAAGAACCAGGATTTGGGGTCTTGGGGAGAGAGAGACGGAAGAGATGCGAAAAAATATGTTACGATAGAGACGATTAGAGTGAAGTAGAACCAGAAGGTGAAGGGATTTGGGGTCCGAGAGGGAGGTGTTTTGGAGGTCTCGGCGGTTGCAGCGGCGGCGATCGGCGGCGGCTTCGAGGTTGAGCTCGATTTTCTGGGTCTGGGCTGTGATGGGTTCGTCAGTGACTCGTCTGGCTCTTCAGTAATGGTCACCATTGATGGCGATTGAGAAGTCTGAGAAGGAACGGTGGCATGAACAGTAAAAGAGAGAAATGGGTAATGGAGATGCAGGAGTGGGAAGAATGATGATGACTGATGGAGAAAGAGGAACTGTAGAATTTTGGTAAAGTGGAAATCGATCTGGTCCGAGGAAGAAAGGTGGATTTTTCCTTTTTCTTTTTGGAAAAAGAATCTCTCTCACGCGAGAGATCTTTTTTTTTCCTTCTTTTTTTGTTGGGTCTTTCAGCAAAAAACCAGCTTGGGAGAAGAAATAAAGAGTTTTGGAGTTTAGAAGGTAGAATTTGATGAAAATGTCCATGTATCCATAATTTGGTGTTTATGGCTTCTTCAATCTAGRAAATTGATAGGCATAATCTAAAAAAACTTTTCACTTTGCTCAATAATTGATCCATTTTTTAAAAACTTACTTTTATAATCTAATAGATGTTTTTTTTTAATTTTAGGGGATATTGATTGATTTGATTCGATTTAAAATTATTTTTTCTAACCCAAATCAACTTTTTCTAACATGACATGTCAATTGAAAGTAAGACATTGCATTAATAGGGTGAAAAAACCTAAGTCAGGAGCAAAAAATCTCGACTATAACTCGGACAAATTCGTTGATAACTCACCCTGAACGAGCTCCAATTTAGGACAATATTGTTTATATACCTATTAATTTAATCTTAGTTTAATAAAGCTCTGCTTGGCTTCCCAACAAAAAAAAAAAATTCAAATCCAGTGGAGATTRCAATTTTTCTTTTGGTCAATTTATGCAAAAATAACCTAAAAACTAGAAATTGATAGCTGGAGAATTGGAATTTGGGATACAAAGGAGAAACGGGACATATGAAGCCAACAAGCAAAGGAGAATGTTGCTAACAAAACTTCTAATATTAGTATACAACAAATAAACCTTGCCCGAGATTACAACACTCACCCATAGAAATGAAAACCCGRGCAAACTCGGACGAGTTTTTGAACTCGAGCGGGTTTTTTACAAACCCATCCAAGTTTTTGCCTATACTTTCTTTTATGGAACTCTCAAAACGGATCCAAAATTCGTCCGAGGTACAAACTCGCCCGAGGTTTTATTGTAGAAATTTAAAAACTTAAGTAAATTTGTGGTCATTTGCACTCTAGTTTGATTCTTGCCGTGAATGATTCTCAATTTTTTATAGTCAACGAAAAACTCAAGCTGAAATTGCATAAATTCCGATCTATATTTATATCTATTCAATTTCAACGAATCCTACCTAAAAAAGAACAAGGTGAAATTGCATGAATCACGACGGAGATTCATGCAATCTCGGGCGAGATTCATGCCGTTTCCAAAATTTTAATAGATTTTGTTAAAATGGAAAAGAAAATTGAAAACATAAGAGAGATAAAGAAAAAAGGCAAAATAAGAAGTTAGAAAGAAAAAAAAAGAGGATGTGAGGTTATTTTAGTCTTTATACGAGTGCAAAAGTAAAAGATGTCACAAATAAGATTGGTAAAAAATCCAACGAAAGGGGTAAAAATCTCAATTACCCTTGTACTAGTCATTGGTGCATCTTTTTGTTGCCTATGAACCGCAGATTGAGGTGCATTGATCCAACTACAAAATATGTATCCCTACATGAGTTTTTTTTTCCTCGATAAGATATCTACGTCAATAGATATTTTTAGAAATGTTATAAAATTAAAAAAGATTAAGAAATGTTTAAACTACCAAATAAACRTTTCAAACATTTATAAATAAGTTAAAAGATAATTAATATTAATATTATATCTATATTTATGATATTTTGTTGACATTCTCTATATTTTGACAATTTTTGCAATATTATGAAAATGTTAATATTGAATCTACGGACACATGAAAATGTCAATCGAAATTTCAATAGGTGGATGAAAATTTAATACCCTCCCCCACACCTCTAAAACAAAAAAATTAAAATTAAATTCTATTTTAATTTCTATACTTTTAAAACACTTATTTTAGTTCAGCAATATATCTTAACCGCAGAATTATGTTCGTTTATTTTTCTTATACTTTAAAATAAATAGTCAATTTGGTCCTTATTTACAATATTTTAACACAAAATTTATACACAATCAAAACTATTTAATCAAATTTGTGGTTACATTTCAAAACATTTAGTGAGTACATGTCATGCTAAAATTAAGATCGAAAGAAGTGAGATTAAAAAGAAAATGAATGAACCAAGATGATCATCCTTAAAAAGTGTACGGACCAAAATAGACGTTTTGAAAATAAATTTACGAACCAAAGTTGAAAATAAAATTACCAAAATAGATGTTTTAATATTACATAAATCAAAATGAACTAAAATAAACAAAATAGTATTTAAGCAAGAAGAAAATATCTTTTTCCTGATGTGAAATTAAATGTCTTATTTTTCTCGATCTGTTAATTGCTTTTTTATACTGTACAGTAAGGGAGGTTAGGTTGCGAGGATTTTGACCCCTAACTTCGAGAGAATTTGTATAAGAAATTTTCATGAGGTGGTGGAAAGATTTTTGGCATATGTAACTTTTCCCAGCAAAATAAAGTTTTTTCTAGAGAGATTTTGGGACAAGTTCCTACGTACTCAAATTTCTTGAGGTGTTAAAGGATATAATAGACATGGACTACTGTTCTCGTACAATTGATTTTGAGATGTGACCTCATAAATGTTGTTAATATGGTATCAGAATTGCAAATTTTCAAATGAGCATACAGTCCAAAAAATAGAATCCGACCAAAATCGATGAGTCGAAAAATCACGATCTTGAAAGGGACATGTTAAGGATAATACATCGAAAATAAGAACCTAACAAAAGTTTATAATAAATATGTACTACTCATTTCATTATTAATTAGTTTTGAAATAGAATCTCCAAAATATTAAGTAGAAGAGTATACCAAATCTTAGTAAATTTTGTGGTAGGAAAGGGAAGGTATTAGACACACATTTTTCTTATTGAAGTTAGAGATTGGGCCGTTGAAACAGGCATTTTCCCAATTCTTCATTCATATCGTATCTGTCAACTTCTCAGGTGAGGAAATGGGAACCATAGGAAAGAGGAACTATGGCCGTTTGGTAACGCTCTCAATTATTATTTCTCGTTAAGAAATCTAAACATTTTACAACTAAAGTGTGTTTCTTATTTCTCTTTTTTTTGGAAGGCCCTTAAAATTATATAAAAATTTTGGAAACAATATTTTATATTTTATTTCTATTTCCAATTTATTTCAAAACTTATCAATAATATTTTCCCACTTCCACAGTTAGTCTGTGAAAAACACAATCAACCACAAAAATTATAACAGATATAGGGAAAGTATAGAAATGACACAAATAATTTATATTGATTCACCCAACCACGAGCTACGTCTAAATACAATGGATAATACAGGCCTAGACAAAAACCACCTAATTTCTAGGGAACTACAACAATATGATCATAAGAAATAGGAATGAAAAACCTTACCAAATACCCATGAGAACGATTTCCCGATGACGATCCAAGTTCTATTTTTTCTTCTCTGCCAAAAGCAACACTGCCGCGCCACAATATATGTGTGCAACCATCCCACCACCCAAAACACACCGCCATTGTTTTTAATTTAAGGTACGCAGCTAGCGGATTTTTTTCTAAATAATGTTTTTATTGGGTGCGATTTCAGGTAAATTGCATTTAATGGCTGTGATTTCAGGTGAAATCGTAATTTTCGGACGCGAGTTAAGTCGAAATCGTAGCCAATGACTGCGATTTTGTGAAAGTCGCAGTCATTGACCGTGAATTCGGTGTGACATGGCTTTAAGGAAGCTATGTGTTGGAATGGTAATCGTATGCATTTACTGCAAGTTTTATATGTTATATATATTATTTCTTTTACGATTAGAGTTGTTCAACAGTGGTTATAACCTTCATTACCATCCTTCAATTCTCAGGTACGAATCCTTCCTCAAGCGTTTTCATCTTCATTTCATTTCTCTTTTTACTTTTTTTTTTCTTTCAATTTCTCTTTTAACCTTTTCTATATCATTCTCTTTTTTAACTCCTCTTTTTTTTCCTTCAATTTGTACTCTTATTCCAGCGTTTTTACAATTCTTTTATTCCAATTTCTCTTTTATCCTTTTTATTTTATTTTATTTTCGCTTTTAACTTCTTTTCATTTTCATTATTCTTCCAACGTTTTTTTAACTTTTTTTTTAATTTCATTAACTTTTTTCTAATTTTATTTTCTGTTTTTATATTATATTATTTTTTTAATTTTAATTTCATAACTCTTTTAACTTCTTTTTATTTTCAATTTATAGGTTGTCGTTAGTTACGTGTGATTCCTTTTATATAAATTATAATAAAATAAATAAAAACTATGTAGGAAATAAAAAATAAAATAACTAACATACTAATAAAATAAATAATATTTTATATGTAAAATAAATAAATAAAAACTACATAAATAAATATTTAAATATTTTAAAGGAACTCTTTGCTGACACATTGTTCAAGGTCCACCTCATCTATGTCATGTTGGCACCTAAATTCCATCCATGATGCGATTTTTGACTTTCACTGGCCCCTAACCTATTTTTTACAATAGTTTGAATGTATAACTTAATTTTGTAATTTTTTTATTTATACTAAATTTATTTTTGTTATTATTTTTAAATCTACATTATTTTTCTAATTTGTTTTTTAAATTACATTATTCTTGAACTTTGTCCGCAGCTAGCAACCAATTTTGTTTTATAAAACAAAACCTAAAGGCAAATAAGATAAATTGGACTTTAATGTTATTTAAGCCCAATTGGCACTTTTATTTTATTTTGGAGTTTTGATTCCATAATTTTATCCCAACAACATAAATAAATTGATTATTTTATCTTATTTAAACTCATGGATGTCGGATCATGCAATTCATTTTTTCTTTATTAAAAATGAAGAAACAGAAACAAGAAACAAGAAACCATAACATTAACAAACGAGCGTATACTTTGGGTCTCAAACACTATCACTTATAGCCAAGGTTTTAAATATCAATGTCGATAGAAATGTCGAGGTCTCAATTTCATAGAAATATCGATAATGTGTCGATGTCGATGGATATTTCTATAAAAGTTATAGAAATTGGAAAATTGTAAAAAATATTTAAATTAACAAATAAACATTTTCATATTTCTAAATAAGTTAAAAAATAATTAATATAGATATTATGTATATATTAGTGACACTTTGTTGATATTTTTCATATTTTGTCGATTTTTTTTTGTACTATAATAAGTTTCGATGTATCCCTCATGTCGATATTGAATCCATGAAAACATGGATACATGTAAATATTGACGGATATTTATATCCATGCTCGTGGAAAATTTGCTGCCCACATCCAGATCAACTTGGCGTTGGAGAAAGAGTTAGATGAGGTGTGGGAGTACTGTCTGCAGCAAGTTTTTTCAATTATTTCTTCTGAGTTTGTAATTCCTTTTGTTGAACTTCTTTTCATCCTAAAAAAAAAAAATCTATTTCAACAGTTTAATTAATATTAATTAATAATACGGTTAAAAAAATAATTAATAACAGCTACGTAAAATTAAATTGAAGTTTGTAATATTTGTTAATAAAATTATATAAATTAGGAAAAGTAAGTATGATTTTTTTCATAATAAGAAATCATAGATCAGTTTTATTTGTATGATGTTATCTAATATCGATATTCTATGTTAACAAATTGAAAATAAATAATAAATAATAAATAATAAAGAAATTAAATAGAATACTGTAGTTTTAAAAAAGAAGAAAAAACTCAATATGTTCTAAAAGTATATATTAATATGATTCTGTTTGTTAAAATAAAAAAAATTATCAGTAGTATAAATAAGGGTAAAATACTTTTTTTCTTAGGTTTGAATTTGAGGTCTATTCGATCCATAAAATTTTAGAAGACATGAGTAATTTTTGAAATTTGAAAAATAGTTAAAAGTAGTCCGTGAATTGAATATAATTTGCTGGTTATTTTTTTTATTCGTCCTCCTCGTATTGTACAATGGACATTCTTCGGTATTCGCATACAAAAATGGGAATGAAAAGGCTAGATCTAGACTTAGTTTGGGATTGATGTGGCTATTAAAATAATTGCTTGTAAATTTGCTTTTAGAAAAATCACTTATAAATATAAGATAATATTCTATAGTATTTGGTAAATTAATACAATATGCTATCATGACTAAAAATAAAATAACCCTACTTTTAATATTTGCAAAATTTGGTGTTAATATTTATACTTTTTAAAAGATAATTATTTAAAATTTTTATATGATTTTAATTTATATTTTAGTTCCTCAAAATTATTATTATTATTATTATTGAGAGACTTTCCTCAAAATTATTTGTTAAATATTAAAAGAAATAATTGTACGTAACTCGTATGATATTAAATCCTAAGTAGATTGAACTCATTTCCTCTATACTCTTTGTTATTTACATTGGTCCTTATTGACCACCATGTCATCTCATGATGGTTAGTATCTCAACTAGTTAATGCAACTATTTCCATCATAATAAACAGATTTTGCAAATAAAAGGGTTTTAAAAGGTGATTTTAAATGGATTCATTTGCAATCAATTTTATCAAACACGAAAGTTGTTAGAAATTCTTATAATCACTTTGAATGCTTTCAGAATCAATCCCCAGTACAACCTTAGTCTTCTTGGAGACGAGTAACAACTAGAGGTAAAAAACTTTCAATTGGTTCTAGATATAGACGAACTAGTGTTTTCAAGGCGCAAGACGTACCTCAAAACAACCAAATCTTTTATTCGCCTCTTCGAATGAAATCAAGGCGTACGTTAATAAATCGAAAAAATTATATATAGAAAGCGTAAATTTATATATAGTACACCCAAAACTATAACATATCAATCCTAAATAGTGAATACATTATAATATTAAAAAGAAACATAAAATAACTAAATTCTTTTAATTCTCAAACAACGTTAGGAAATAAGAATAAAGGTAAAACTTAAATATAATAAAATAAGTACAAAAGTAAAACATCTAAGAAGAAAGGAAAAAAAAAAGAAGTGAGAGACACAAAACCTAAACCTTTTGGCGAAAGGTCTTCAGAGTAAGTGAGAAGTCACCCGTGAACAAGGAAGAAGTCGAGCAAGGAACCTGATTGAAGATACTCACCAAGGTGTCGTTCGAGATGCGCCCAATCTAAAATGCCTCGCCCCTCGCTATAGACGAGCGCCTAGGCACGCATTACAAACACTAAGACGAACGGCAAGAAAATCTATTAGAGAAGACGAAGAAGAATAAGGAGAAATGGAGGGAGACAAAAATAACATAAAATTAAAAAAAAAAAAAGTTGTCACTTCATCTAAAATGTATCGCCTCAGTATATCATGTCAGTCAAATTGTCTCCATGATAATTTAAACCCTTCCAATTTTATAGACTAAAGTGTCTCTTTTGAATGTATCAAAAATAGATATCAAATTCAAGTCAAAGAAATAAAAAAAAAAAGAAGAGACATTAGGCCATGTTTTCCGAGGGAGGCCATCTTCTCTCAAGCCAGCAGTCTTCTACTTCTATTCCATTGTTCACGAGTTGGGTTGGGTCGGGTTAGGGGAGTTTTTTTGGACCAACCCGAATTTTCGGGTTGGGTAGAATAGAGAACCGATGGAACCGAACAAGAAGGCCAACTCAACCCAATCCAACCCTTATATTTTCGGGTTGGGTTGGGTTGGATCGTCGGGTTGAGACGAGAGAAGGAAGGCAGTCAAACAAAAAGGATTCAGTCGAAATCTGCAAAAATTGATTGTTCATGGTAGAGAAAATTATTCACAATTCACTATCCCAGCCGCCATCATCAGAAGAGGATCAAAATGAGGAAGAGTACGTAGAATGAGGGGAGAAGAAAGGAGGGGGAGACTAGAGAAGGGATCGATTGAGGGAGAAGAGGGGAGGGAAAGACCAAGGAGAACAATATGGAGATGAAAGGAATGGGATGGAGGGAGAAGGGATCTATCAAAGGTGGTCGCAAGACATTTTGAAGACGAGCTGACCTATATATCCTTTCCGATCGCCTGAGATATCAGTCGAGCTGAGCTCAAACCTCTACCTTGGATATTTGAGTCATTAGTCGAGTCGATCAAATGACACTTCTTCAAGAACTGAACGACGCCATAATCCATGACAACACGCCGCGATTCTCAAATAGTCGTGGAGCTGTTGGAGGCTTATCGGAGCTCCGCCTATAAATAGAGACCTCCGGCCACTACATTTTCAAATACGCAAAACTATACTCTTTCTTGAGTATGGGTAAACCAGTTATCAAAGTGCTTCTTCTTCTTCTTTTTTTTTTTTTTTGGTTGTAAGCCTTCTACTTGCTAGCACGTCAGTTTATTTATCGAGTCAATCCTAGCCTAAGCCATTCTTTGCAGTCTTGGTCAAAATCTTAATCAAACATAATTAATAATATCTTAGATTAAACTAGATATTTAGGACCTGAAAATTCGGATTCTGTTTTTTGTTTCAATCCATGAATGAGATTTATTGAATATGCATTTGTCAGGATTTGGGAGATTCGTTTTTTAAAATTGTTCTCGAATTGTGTGATCCAATAGAAATTCTAAAAACAACCTTTTAGTATTTTCAAATTTCAAAATTTGAAAATTTTAAAAGGGAGAATTAAATAAGAACTTTGATAAATATTTTAACACACCATTAGTAACTACCCTATCTTATTAAAATACATTTTATAACTTCATTTTTAGTTGAATTTATTGTTTTCAAATCATCAATAAATTGTTTGTGTTTGACTTTATGTTAGCTTAGAAGTTAAGAGATGGTGCGGAGTTGGGAAGTTGAATTTCTAAACCCATATTTGTTGCTCCACAAAAAACTAAACAGAAGAAAAAGGAAGTGGTGTCTCTATCACCGCGACCACCGACAATATGTAGCTCCATTTTGAGAAAGTCGTGGCTTGGTCTTGGGTTTTCTTTCAATTTCTCTGCGCTGCTATCAATGGCGGAAATCGGAAAGAAGTTGAAGCTCAATTCCGGCTGGCTTGCCGCGAGATCGACCGAGATCGAGCTCACTGGGACTCAGCTTACAACTACTCATCCTCCCTCGATCGGTCCTTCTTCGCCATGGATGGAGGCCGCACTCCCCGGAACGTAATTCCCTCTTCCTTTTTACTCTCAACTTTCAAGGACTAAACTCGTAATCTAAACTTAAATTAACCATACAATTTTGGGGATGTAAATTGAAACTCTTTATTGCTAAACTTGTAATGAGTAGGTACATTAATTTGATTATACATATGTTGTGGATTCAGAGTAAAGCTAATGGAATTGATTACGACATTGGCCTAATTTGAATGTTGCAGTGTACTGGGGACTTTGGTGAAGAACAAAGTTATTCCTGATCCTTTCTATGGATTAGAAAATGAAACTATAATTGATATAGCTGATTCTGGGAGAGAGTACTACACATTCTGGTTCTTCACAACTTTTCAATGTAAACTGGTAAGATATTGTGCCTTGAGAATGTTTTTCTTTTTTGGCTTTTGCCTTGTATACTCTTTGTTACTTCCATGAAGGTTTGTTTTCATTCTTTTGGCTACTGGAATTGTGAGGGCTTTCGGCCACATGGATAGTTCAATATTTATCCTATTAAATCGGCGTTGGCGCTTGACCCTGAGGTGTTAAAAGAAGATCTATTTGATCTGTAGGGTGTCTCATCATGTCACTTCTGCTTCTATGACTATTCTGCCTGTTCATAACCTTCTTGACTGCTGCTCACTTGCAGTCAGAATCTCAGCACTTGGACCTGAATTTCCGCGCTATAAATTACTCTGCAGATGTGTACATAAATGGTCACAAAAGTGTCCTGCCAAAAGGGATGTTTAGAAGGCATTCTCTTGATGTCTCTGAAGTTTTGCATCCTGATGGTACAAATTTACTAGCTGTTCTAGTGCACCCTCCAGATCATCCGGGAAGAATCCCGATAGAGGGAGGTCAGGGCGGTGATCATGAGGTATGTAAGTCTTCTTTCTTCTCAGACAGGTCTTTTCTCAAGGTGCATCATAGTCGTCTGCACTTTCTTCTGTCGGAGACGTCCTAAGGATTTGTTCATTAGATGACGGGTCTTTTTGTTGCCTGATATTTTATATTTCACATTAGATTGGAAAAGATGTCGCTGCACAATATGTCGAGGGTTGGGATTGGATGGCTCCCATAAGGTGACTAACTTGTATTTGATGTCTAGTTCTTGTTCTTTTATATCTGTTCTGATATTATTTCAAATAATATCCACATTTGCTACTTATATTCTGACAATAATAAAAAAAAAATTTCCTTGTCAACCAAATGTGGTAGGGTCAGGCGGTTGGCCCGTGATTAGTCGAGGTTCGCACAAACTAGCCCGGACACACGGATTTCAAAAAAATAATAATAATAATAAAAAAAAAAAAATTTTAGCCAAAGTTGTGACAACTCTGTGCATCATTCTATTTCAACTCTTAATTATGTTATCAATTAAGTGAAAATTGTAGAAAAGTGTTTGAAAAAGGATCTTATTTATAAGAATATTACATATGAGTATCTACATGTATGAAAAATATTTCCATTTTCCACTTTTAAATGCAATATCTGGCTGTAATTCGTACTGTAAGTAGTTTTTTTTAGTTCAAGAATATGTGGGGCGGATATTTGAACCTCCACGCTCAGGTTGGCTAGATTGTAACTAGGTTGAAACATATACTATACAAATACTCATTTACTGGTAGAAATGAACTGCTAATAACTGCAAAGTATATGGTATATAATGCATTTTAGTATTTGTGTCGCTTCAGGGATCGAAACACTGGCATATGGGATGAAGTATCAATTTCTAGGACTGGGGTGAGTTTCATTTGAAGTGCACCCCTTCTTATCCTATTTATCTTGAGAATATTTTTTTTTATCAAAAAAGTATTTCGATTTTAATCCTATTTTGGTTTATGGACATTCGTGCCTATTCTATTTTTGGTCTCTAAACTTTTAAAGGTCCGGTTTTAGTCCAACTTTTAAATTTTCTGTTTTAGTCTCCAAACTTTGCATAAAAGGCTATTTTAGCCCATACCATTGATTTTGCATTATCATTTAACAAAAGCCAAGTTTTTTTCTTAAACTTTTTAATGAGAAACCGAATTTTTCATCGAGAAAAATGAAAAAAGAACTCATGTATAAGAGCATAAAAAAAAAACCAACCTAAAAAGGGCCTCCAATCAAAAAAGATAACTCCTAACTGATAATTACAAAATAACTTCGAAATCGACCCCACGGAGAACTGAATCCTAATTGATAACTCCTAACTGATAATTAAAAAGGCCTAAGTTTATTTGGAAACCCCACACATCTGTCATCTATGTAGCTTGAAATACTTATCCTTGTAAATATCTTAAACAAAAGATGTCCCAAGGTTAGGTTTTTGTTAAAAAAAATTATTAAAATATTAGTAAAAATAACTAAAATGATTTATTATCTGAAGTTTCGGGGACAAAAATAAAATATTTGAAAGTATAGTTATCAAAATAGATAAATTATGAAAGCTCTGGATTGAAATAGGATTCAAACCAAATATTTCTCTGGCAGCAGGATCAATACATGGTATATAGTTTAATATTTGGTTCTCTAATAAAATGATATGCTTTATTTATTGTTCCTTTTTCCATTCTTATTTCTATCTAGTTGGATTGTGCATTCATGTTGAGTGAATTATTATTACACTCTAAAACTTCAAATGTGTGTTTCTTGTGTTCTGCATATTTCTGAGGCATCAAACATACATTGAATTACCAAACCAAGCTTTCCATTCCATTTCTCTCCGGATAAGCTTGCAACTTGAGAATTACATTGAATGCTCTGTATGATTGGGTTATTGTTTCATCTGGTTAATATGTCATTAGTTATATTCTGCCTTATAGAAACCATTTTTGACGCCTGACGGTTTCTGAAGTTTGATCATCTTATATTGATGCTTACTCTTTTGAACAGCCAGTGAGGATTATTGACCCTCACTTGGTATCGACATTTTATGACAATTATGAGAGAGTTTACTTGCATGCTACTCTGGAGTTGCAAAACAGAAGCTCTTGGGATGCAGATTGTTCTGTGAAAATTCAAGTGACCACTGAACTAGAAGGTAACATTTGCTTGGTTGAGCATCTTCAGGCTCGGAAGGTGTCTGTTCCTGCTAGATCAACTGTACAATATACAATTCCTCAGGTTGGTGATTACATCTTTCTTCGATAGAAAAAAGAGAGAAGAAAAAGAAACTGTCATTCTTGTTTTTGGCTCCTCCTAGGTTGGGCTTTCCTTTTTCTGTATTGTCCTTGTGTATTCTTCACGTGTTCTTCAATTTGTTCTCAATGAAATTCGTATTAAGAAACAATGAACTAGTGAAGAAGAAGAAACCTCGTGTTCGAAAAGAATCAGTAGGGAGAGCATGAAGTTTTATATTCTAAAATTGAGAAACAGAGAACTAGTTTTTACTTCACTTTTCTTTTCTAGATATTTGCTAAGACTTCTAAAAATGAAATGCTAAAATTTTCAAATGCCAAATTTACTTTAGGTTACTATGTCGTTCTTCCATGATTAGTAAGTCAAAGGTTGCTCAGCCATTGCATACGCAAACTTCTATTCAAGTGATTTTTGTGTTGAATGACAGCTCTTTTTCTACAAACCCAATCTGTGGTGGCCGAACAGAATGGGAAAGCAATCGTTATATAATGTTGATATATCCGTAGACGTAGATGGATTTGGGGAGTCTGATTCCTGGAGTCATCATTTCGGATTCCGTAAAATTGAAAGCGATATTGATACTGCAACTGGTGGAAGGTAATTTTTATGTTAATTTGATTTGACACCCATGTTTAATGAAATTCCTTTTTGTAAGATTGTTCTATCTGGTCAGCAGGCTGTTCAAGGTCAATGGCCAGCCTATATTTATTCGCGGTGGCAATTGGATATTGTCTGATGGGTTACTCCGACTTTCAGAGAAACGATATCATACCGACATTAAGTTTCATGCTGATATGAATTTTAACATGATTCGTTGTTGGGGTGGTGGATTGGCCGAGAGACCAGAGTTTTATCATTTTTGTGACATTTACGGCTTGTTGGTAAGTCATGGCTCCTTTTCTATTCTGGATATGTTTTTTTTCCTTTTCATATTATCATAAGTTCCTCCATGATATGCTCTGTTCACTTGCTTACTCTCTAATTCTGTTGAACTAAGATTGAAATACTGATGTCGGTTGCCATTGTGGAATAAACTAATGTAGGTGTGGCAAGAATTTTGGATTACTGGAGACGTCGATGGACGTGGTGTGCCAATATCAAATCCTGATGGCCCTCTGGATCATGATCTTTTCTTGCTTTGCGCGAGAGACACGGTTAAGCTTTTGAGGAACCACCCTAGTCTTGCTCTTTGGGTCGGGGGGAACGAACAAGTTCCACCACCTGATATCAATGCTGCATTGAAAGACGACTTGAAACTTCATCCTTATTTTCAAATGTCGAGCAAAAGTGAGAACTGGATGGGCATTTCATCGGATCCTAGCCAATATCTTGATGGTACTCGTGTTTACATACAAGGATCCATGTGGGATGGATTTGCAGATGGAAAGGGAAACTTCACTGATGGTCCTTATGAAATCCAATACCCCGAAAACTTTTTTAAGGATGATTTTTATAAGTATGGATTCAATCCCGAGGTTGGTTCTGTAGGCATGCCCGTTGCCACTACCATCCGAGCCATGATGCCTCCTGAAGGGTGGCAGATTCCATTGGTCACGAAACTCCCCAGTGGCTATGTAGAAGAAGTTCCAAACCACATTTGGGATTACCATAAATACATTCCCTATTCTAAACCAGATAAGGTTCAAAGTCAGATTGAACTTTACGGTTCTCCAAAAGATCTCGATGATTTTTGTTTGAAGGTAAAAAGGAAGTTGTTTCTGGTTTGAAGTAGTGCCATGCCATGCATTGTTTTACAGTTGAATTATTTTCTAACCATTCAAAACTTTCAGGCTCAACTTGCTAACTATATCCAATATCGAGCTCTAATCGAAGGCTGGAATTGCCGTATGTGGAAGAAGTACACGGGCTTTCTAATCTGGAAAACGCAAAATCCTTGGACGGGTCTAAGAGGTCAGTTCTACGATCATCTCCTCGACCAAACAGCAGGTTTCTTTGGGTGTCGTTGTGCTGCAGAACCTATCCACGTCCAGCTGAATCTTAGCACATATTGCATAGAGGCAAGTTTTTCTAATATCGTTACATTCTACCCTTTTTAGTTTGAAATAAATCATGATGGGAGATGGTTTCATCTCGAGTAGAACCGTAAATATGCTCTTCATGTTTAAGTCTTCCATTTTCTTTTAACTGACTGATAGCTAAGGGTAGTAAACTATATGTTCATCTCATCATTTCCTATGCTCTTGAAAATGAGGGAATCAATGAATTGAATCAAATAAATTTCACCTTTAATTCTTCTACAAAGCAACTAAACTGTGAGATGCTTCTGTATCTGCCTCGAACAGGTTGTAAACACTACGTCGGAGGAGATATCTGGTGTTGCCATTGAAGCCTCGGTGTGGGACCTCGAAGGGACGTGCCCATATTATAAAGTTTTCGAGAAACTCTCCCTGCCGCCGAAGCAGACATCGTCCATTGTCGAGATGGAGTATCCCAAGTCTGAGAATCCCAAGCCCGTCTACTTTCTTCTTCTCAAGCTGTACGAGGTCTCGAACTACGGTATCATATCGAGGAACTTCTACTGGCTGCATCAGTCTGGAGGAGATTACAAGCTCTTGGAGCCTTACAGAGAGAGGAACATTCCCATTCAGGTTACATCTCAGGTTGATGTAACAGGATCCACCTACGAAGTCAGAATGAATGTTCAGAACAAATCAAAGAATGCAGAATCTTCAAGCTTAACCTACAAGAACAACTTTATCCATAGACACGGCAAAGGCGATTTTGATTCGAATTCTGCAATTCTTGGAAATAAAGAACAGACCGATGACAAACGCAGCAGTGCTGGTCTGTTTCACAGGATCTGCCGACGTATAGGTATGGGAAACAGCAGTCAGAGGTCCGTTGAAACAGACGGGAATGATGTCGGAGTCGCCTTCTTCCTTCACTTTTCAGTTCATGGTTCCAAAGTAGAGAGTAAAGAAGGAGAGGATACAAGAATTCTTCCAGTTCACTACTCAGACAACTATTTTTCTTTGGTTCCTGGTGAGGTTATGTCCATCAAGATCTCCTTTGAGGCCCCTCCTGGTGTCACCCCAAAAATTACTCTTCATGGTTGGAATTTTCCTCAGGGTTTAACTATCCTCCGTTAATACAATTACGGTCAACTAAGTCAACTTCCTTTCCTGCTGTCGAAGGAACCTTCAATGGATTTTCTATTAATAAATTCGTACAGAACTATCAACGAATTTCCATAAAATCAAAGGTCTACACGATTTTCCCATTCAAAAGAGGATCTCTCTTTTTCATTCTCAACAGGAATGCTGCATCAACAAAATTATCGTTCCATATACGTTGTTGTGTGGGTATATAATCAAAATAAGGGAAAGAGATTTGAAATTACCTTATAATTGGGGTAGACTTTAATATCTATCTAATCATTTGAGTTATGTTTGTTTATCTAAGATTTATTTTTTGTACTATAGGTAAGACTTTTTAAAATAATAATAATAATAATAAAAAAGTAAGCTGTACTCATCTATCAGTAAGTTTAGGCTTATTTTATAAATTCATTGGGTTAAACTTAAACTCAAAGGGTGGCAAATAAACTTAAACTTAAATGTTTTTTTTTAATTTTCTCGGGTGCAGCCTCTAATAATTTGTTACATTAAGTTTTTGTTACTCATTAAAAATACAGATGATAATGAAACTTGGACTAAATAGGAAATTAAAGTTTAAGAATTAATAATTAACTCAATCTAAATAAAACTTGTTACTAATATTTCAAGTTCTGTAAAAGAATAAAGTTGGATCCAAAAAATAGATATTCACACATTATTATTATTATTATTATTATTTAGCCAACGTGAGCTTAGTTCAGAAATTAGCATACCTATCTGTCTAAGAGGTAGTGAGCCTATTTTATTTGTTGTACTAAAAATGTTATTACTATTTTTTTAAAAACATATTTGCACATTATAATTAAAGAATAGTAAAGCCAACTTTAATTTTTTTTAATATATAAATCTCAGAATATTTCATTAGAGAGAAGGCTTAAAATCTTAATTATATATATTGTGTGTGTGTATAAAGCAAAGGACAGTCAATTGCTCCCTTTTTTCTTCGTCGTCTTCTTGTTATACTTTATATTTATCTTATTCCAAATAAAGTCAAATTCACAAGCTTCAAGAGTTCATTAGAAATCTAAAACAAAAAAGGAAAAAAAAAAGAGTTCATTAGAAGTCTCCCTAAAATTTAGAAACTCAGAGATAATAATTGAAAATGCAATCAAGTATTTCTTTTCTTTTTTTTTTTCTCAATAATTTGAGAGTCGGAGTTTTGTTTTTCTAGCACCTACATCCATTCTAAAGTTGAGACCAAGTCCAAGTTTTCATTATACTGTAATTTCATAATTTCCACTTCACCTATCACTGGTTTATACAATACCTATTTTTTTAGTTCAACAATTGTGAGGTGGAGAATCAAACCATCAACTTTTGTAATGACAATAGATATCTTGTTTTTTGTATAACAAATACGAGGATGATAGATTGAACATTTGACCTCTAGAAAATGATCAGCAAGATGTCTTAATTATTTAACTGGACTCGTGTTAGCAAAGCTAGGTAGGCTCGAATTTGCAGTGAAGGATATGTATAAGTTAAAGTGATGAAGAATCTCTCTCGCTATGAATTTAACGATAAACTCTCGGGTTCTTGCAACCTTAATGTTTATGTTATTGATATATATGTTTAAAATGATGGTTTATGACTTGAATGATTTTTTTTGAAAGAAACATACAAAATTTCAATAAATTTTAGTAATATAAGTGATTTTTCTTATAACTCCTTTCATATCTAAATATCCATAAACTTGAACTATTAATTTTCATATCAAAATTTTCATCGTGGATTATATAAAACCTTTTCTTCAATATATCAATGTATGAGAGTGAAGATTCAAATCTACAACATTTTGATCCGAGATAATGTCCAAATTTTTTTTAAGTACAACACATGTGGAAATAGGGAATTGAACCTCCAACCTATGAGAGAGCAAGATATTTTAACTGTTGACTATATGTCTTAATTTTTAATTAGTGGAGCTATGCTCCCCCAATTGAAAAAAGATAAAAATAGAAAATGAAGGCTTAAAAAATTTTTTCTTTCTTTTTTATCTCTCTTTATTATCTTTATCCCTTATTATATAGATATATAATTATCTAGATATATCAGTGTATATCTATTAACTTTTATCAACAGTTTCATGTGACCTTGTTAGATGAGAATCAATTTTTTTCCAAATGTGTTTATTAAATTGTAGTAATGAAATCAAATGGCGAGACTACCTCAAACTCTAATCCCATCCCATCCCATTCCTCTCTTACAATTTCATCAATCTAATTCCGATTCCTATTCTGTGAGCTCAAATATTTATTACGATTACTTTACTACTTTTATCATTTCTCTCTTCTGTTAATGTCCACAACTTTTTTAATTAATTGTTTTATACTTTTATTATTTATTTTCCATTTATACTCCTAATAAACATTTATACAACTTTTATTAGTTGATTTAATTTTATTATAAAATATTATAAAATTTAATTTAATTTTTTAATTTTACTTTGTTATTATTAATTAATATCATGATTTTTTAAAATATAATTAATTATTATTAAATATAATTTTATATTAAATGATGGTGTAGGATCATTTGGCAATATTAGAGGGGCTGGATAAAATTGCGTACCAACTTTTAAATTTTAAAATTAAAAATCAAGAATAACAAAAATCAAACAAAATTAAAAAATGCACAAATTAAAACAAGTAGAGAGGGATGACACCATGAATTTTTATAGTGGTTTGAAAATTTTTACTTCACCCCCTCAAGACTCTTTTTTGGTATTTTTACTGCGCCGACTCTCTTATAGGTGAGAACTAAATCGATTGAACCTCTTTTTGACCTAGGCTAAAGAGAAACCCACATCATTTTTTCTGATTCGGGATCCAACAAATTGTGTTTTCTTACAACCCAATGTGTACAAACATCTTAATACAAAACCCAAAATGTAAAATAAGCAATACAAATAAAGTATCTCACTGAGTTAGATTTACAAATTCCGCATTAAAGAAATGAAATAGCTAAGCTACACTCTAATTTATCTCTCACACGAAAAAATATGGACAAATTTTTGTGCAAAGAGAATGAAAATTTGAGAGCAAAATAATTAAAGAGAGAAATGTAGCTTTTACTTGGATAATTGGTGTATGGAGGATGATGAATTTAGTGGCTTTAAATAGAATTTCGATGATGAATTATGGTCATTGGATTTAGGACAACAAATGATTTAGATTAAAAGCTGAGGTAAGGTAATGAAATAATGAGGATTTTGGAGATTGGGAGAATTTGTGGGGATCGAAAAAGAATTTACAGATATTAAGAAGATTTGTAGATTGAGAGAAATTTGTGAAAACTATTGATTTCTTCAAATTTGAATACGTCACATATCGTCACATGATCTATCAACGTCAGCAAAATTGTTGATTTCACGTCAGTGCCACATCACTGTTACATTGGCATATTTTGACTATTAGATATCACGTCACCTGTCACATCATCTAACACACATTGACAAATTGCCATGTCATCTACCATATGTCGTCTTCTAATTGATTGAACTGTCCACATCACGTGCCACGTATGCTTTTTCTTCCCAAATTTATTTTGGCCATAAATTATTCATTTGAACTCTGATTTGAGTGATTCAAAATGCGTTTAAACTGTCATTTTGAGCTCTAATGGACACCTTGAACTACTAAAGTAATTAGTAAATAAAGTTTATTATCATCAAGACATGTGATATGATTGAAGCTCGTGAAGCTGACAAATGATTGTTCTAATAAAAAAAGTATTTTAGTAGATGAAATTTTATTTTAATTATTCTATATTTATTAATATTAAAAATTATTATAATAAAAAATATTTACCATTAGTAATACATTAATAAATTAATTTAAAATTTATTACTATTTTAATTAGAAAAAGATAGCACAATAATGAATTTGTAATGAGTTAGAAAGTATAAAAAGGTATACTAGTAATTGTTATATATCTAATTTCGATTATAAAAAATTTCTTATAAATGGTATCAAAGGAATAACATTTCATTCAATTGAATCAATTTTGATTGATTTTCATTTCGATTTCAATTCTGAATAGGTAAACAGGACATAAAGGAATAACATTTCCATTCCAATAATTTTTATTCCGTGGTGAGTAAATAGAACCTTAGATACATTAGATAAATGACAGAGTAAGGTCTCAAATATGAGATATTTCAAATTTCACTTAATATTAAAGATTAAAAAAAGAATATATATTTATAAATAAATCGATTATATAGAACTTTTGAAAACTCGGTAACCAAAAAGTGAAAAGTCATAAATTTACCAAACCGAACTAAACACAAGAGTAATAACGACTTTTTCTCTCAAAAATGTCATTTTTGTGGTAAAGTCCGGGTCATTATGTAAATAATGAAAATAAAGTGGAGGAAAATGTAATAAAGTAAAAAAAATGAAAGAAAACTACAAACAAATAAAGAAACTCGATTTAATCTCAGAAATGGCGATAGATCTCTGAGAAGACCGAGGAGGAAGACGAAGAAGAAGAAAGAAGACGAACAAGATGATGTCCGGAGGTAACTATACGACTATAGATAACCAAAATGTTTCAGGATCTGTGCCCGTAAGCTTCTATTCCCTTTTGCTTTCTCGTTCTTTTTGATTTTGGAGAGAAGTTACCGAATTTGCTGCATTTTTTCAAATGGCATTCCACAATACTCGAATCTGATCCCTTCTGATTGATTTCTCCATTTTCTGTGTTCTTTGATTTCCAGGCTGTTCCGGATCAGGGACATTTAACCGTTAAATTCACTGGTAAGTCCTTTCCTATTTCTGATATCGTTTTACTTTAATGTTCGTTTAGATTCTGAGAAATTATGCACGTTCGATTAGACATATTAGCCACATCCAAAGTTCATAGATAATTGGAATGAAGTTTGAAGATTGAGTTCTTTAAGTGAATCTTGGCAGACTGGCCTGAGCTAGATCTAAATAATCTATTCATGGAGAATTTAATATGGAAAATGGATTCGATGTAATCTTCTATTGCGGGAAAGATTTAGAATTAGATATTGGAGTGAAATTTTAGTTTAATTATAAATTATGAGGATCGAGATCAACTACTGTAGTTTGATTTTGATCCACTGATTTTATGTTTTTTTTTTTCCTTTGCTATAAGTGGCAAGATGATAACTGGTGCTTTGTTATTGTAGACTCAAATCTTCAAACATTTCCACCATCTGGAACTCAAGGAAAAATCTCTGGTGGTTCCCAGCCTCCTCGCGATGCTGATGGTATTTAAAGATCTTTCCTAATTGTTTAGTTCAATTTTGTTTTTAATGTATAGAAATTAGATAGGAGAAGGTGGCTTTACTGTTAATCTCTTTATGTTTTTCCCTGATCAAGTCAAATTATAGATGGTATTTTGTTTTTAATGTATAGAGATTTAGGGCTTCTTCAACCATTGACCTTTACGTACAGTATACTTTATGTTAGTTTATGTTTCATTAACCATGTGCATGGTGGTTACTTTTTGGTCAGAAGTTCATGACACGATCTCATAGAGACGCACCTCACTTAAATGGATTAATTTAATCCTCAGTTTGACATAATGTAATGAGCATTTATTAGATTTTATGAGCAATGGATAATTATGCTGTTAAATTCATCAAGGTATCATAGGGCTTCATTTCATTATACTGGGAAAGACATGAGTTTATTTGTGTAATGAAAAGAGCATGCATCTTATGTTGATTTCATTTTTTATTTCTATTTTTGACATACATACATATAGACACTCACATTAACCATATGTATATATATGTATGCATGTACATATGTAACTATGGAAAACACAAAGTATTTTCTACTAGAGCCAACAAAGCAATGGAGCATACCTTTTCTTTTACGAAATATTGTATTAAAGCTTGAAGTTTGAGCTAATAGCGAATTTTATCTGTTGCAGACACATTTTCAAAACCTATCTCTGGTTCATCTGGTTCTGATGAATCCCCCAAACAGGGTGGTTGGGTTCGGACCTTCTCAGTGTCTTCCTACAAACAATATTTTGATGTTGATACTTCAGATGTCTTAGAGAGGATCAAAGATTCACTTTTTCCGTTTAGAGGAACTTTCAATGAAAGGACAGCTGACACCCCAGATCTGTAAGCTCTTTTTCTATAGCTGTACTAATGTGTCGTTTCTTGATGTTGCTCATTATTGGAGAATGATATTAAAAAATTTACCTTTGAAATGAGAATTTCTTTGGATAGTGGTCTGAATTTTCTGTAGGCAATTTACTCTATCAAATTCCCAAACGATAGTGAATTCAAGCATTTGATTTTTTTAGTGCAACTATAAATGGTGGCTTAAATTCCATGAGGAAGTTTGCTCTAGATGTCGAATTCATGAATGTTCTGTCAAGAATTTGAGAATAAAATTATCATATCAATAATCATTCGTCTGTGGAATTCAAAGTTTTGTTAGATATATATTTTCTAGGCAGTTACTTGCTACTTGCTATATTATAAGATTTTGTCTTGTTCTGTTAGATTGAGACAGAAAGTTCTTTCAGATTTTTTTTTTCCTCATTTTGATAAGAAACCATATTTTATCATACTAGTTTATTACGAACTGCAATACAGGTGAAACGTTCAATTATTTTTTGTTTTTATACAAAATAAGTACTCAATTCAGATCTATGAGAAGTATCTATATTTTGTGTTAAATAAGTGATACTTGTGAGGTTTTTACTTCAATCGTTTAACACTTATTTAGTTAATACAGTCTCGTTTCCTACAAAGAAGATCATTTGACACTTAATTAAAAGTTTGCTGTTGATGAATGTAGACATGTTCGTATGTATGTAAATTTATAGACTTATCATAAAAATAAGGTTTCAAATTAACTAAGGACCACACATTAGTTTTTTCTTTTTCCTCGTTTTTGTAAAATAAGCTTTTTGGAAATAATTTCCTTTTTATTTTATTTATTATTTTTTTAACACCTCAAATGGGGATATTTATTTTAAAAAAAGCAAAACAGACAACCTAACAGGCCTTAGGGATGAAAATAATTTCCTTTAATATTTTCTTCATTTTTTGAAATCTTAAGCAATCTCTTTTAAAAAAAATTATTTTTGAAAAATGAAATAATTTTCACTAATATTTCAATAATTTTTTTTGACAAAAGCAAATAAGAAATATTAATACTTAATTTTATTTTGAAATAAAAGGTACTCCTAATATTGTATATTTTAATAATAATGCAATAAATATTTAATAAAAACTTTGATATTAAAATATTTCTAAGATTTAGAAAGGGTTATACTTAGCTTTTTACTTATTATAATTATTGTAATTTAACTGATATTAATATGTACAAGTATGAAGCTAATAAGTAGTATATAAATAATTGCATTGAATTAAGAGATGGGACAAAATAGTCTAAATATGACTCTATCATTTATCCTCTTTTTGTATTAAAGGCTGGAGATGAAAAAAAAAGGTTGGAGATGAAAGAATTATTACAAAACTAGGGGATTAATAAATATTTAATAAAAAGTTTGATATTAAAATATTGCCATGTATATCTAGAAAATTTTCCCTTTTCTGCTTCCAAATTTGCTTTTTCTGTAATGCTTTCTAACAACTGTGTAAAGTTAAAATATTTGTTCAGATTTTCTTGTTACATATATCGTATATGTTTCAAGTTTATTAGCTGAAGGTTAGACTTAGTAAATGATGATCATTTTACTTGATGACCTAGTTCATGATGGTAGTGAGAATGAAATTATTTTATCTTGCAGGCGCATACTCTCTGATTATAATTTCATTTTTTCCCAGATACGGACCATTTTGGATATGTACTACCTTGATATTTGTGGCTGCTTCTATTGGAACGTTTGTAACGTACTTGGCCCACAAGTTACAGAATAAAGATTGGAACTATGACATAAATGTGGTAACTTGGTCTGCTGGTCTGTTCTATGGCTATGTCACCATTGTTCCTGTTGGACTATACTTAGTGCTTAAGTACTTCTCGGTGCCTTCCGGCCTTGTGCAGCTCTTATGTCTCTATGGCTACTCTTTATTTGTGTTCATCCCAGCACTGGTATGTCTATCAGTCTATAATCAATACTATTACTTATTACGAAGTACATGCTCATCCTTTTGTCTCATGAAATTTCTCTCATGAAACCACTCTTACTTCCCCTTTCCATAAAAAAACGAGTATAGAAAGCATGGATCTTAACTCTTGAGTGAAAATGCACCTTTGTTGTTTAAAATGTTTACAATGCATCATTTATAAATTAAAATGATCATAATTTCTTTATACCCATGATGTTGTTTAATAATTAGTAAACATACACACTCTTCATTTTCTCTCACTTTCTTTCTATATTCGACATTGTGTCTTGTCCATGTCACTCTCAAATTTGCATTTTATGTTCTTATTGGTCAAATGCATTTGCTATTGTTTGTCTGTCACATCAACAAAGAAGTTAGAGTGAATAAGGCAAGAAGTACCTTTTTGTCTATTATCAAGCATGTGAGTATGAAGGATCGTTTTTAGACTCTAAGGGTACATGCGTAGAGCTGTAGTTTACAATTTTCCCCACCTAAGATTAGAATTTTATCACCTATGATTTTTTTTTTATGAGGTTGGGAAGGACGGACCAAATGGTCTCCCTTGTTTGGCTGCATGATAGTTTCCGAGTTTTAATTTGGGCTCTTATAAGAAATGTCCTATGGGATGAAAAAACCTCAAATAAGAAAGGTTGTGTAGTGGAAATCTTCAGACTTGATAACTCGGGAAGATAATTGATATTATGGTGCTTAGTCAAGATAAAGGGAGGTTAGAAGAATTTGTTTGATGATGATGCCTAGAGGCATATCCCAATGTGTTGTCTTTCCTTGTTTCAACAATTATTCGGGTCTCTTTTGATGATTTTGTCAGTAGTTCAAATAGTAGGAAAGAGGGACATGCTCGTAAAGCTCAGGGAAGTTTGAGTGAACCCACCCCTACTGATGTGATAAGAGTCTTGTAAATGAAACATAACTTTTTATTGACTTAAAAGGAAAATGGTACAAAATTCATGACGTTTGTGAGGTCTATATCTCTCTAAGAGCAGTAAGACTATTCTAGCTTCCACTTACTAACTGCCTAACCGTTTCCCTTTCCTTTCCTTGTATATATAATTCCTCTCACAACGTCAGCTAACCAACTTCACATTATTTTGCTGAATTCATTAAAGCTAACAAACTCGGACATAAGACCATCTTTTACACTAAGTAAATACTTCCCCTATATTCTCTCCATCTATTTGCCCTCCTTAGATTCACGCCTCTTCCTGGTGTAAGTAAAGCAAACTATCAATACCTGTTGCCCAATGTTTCATCTTGTTCTCCTGATAGAAAGCAAGGTATTCTGAGACAAAAGCAAGAAGTCTTCCCAAGGTGCTCTTTAGGCGTCTACGCTTATACTAGCACCTCTATTTCTCCATTGGTAGCTGTAGGTAGCCTCACTCCCAAACACTTGATGGAAAATAAGGAGCACCATATGTGAACTGAGCTTGGCTGGCAGTGATGGATTTTGGAGGTTGGTTCCATGAGCAGCGATATGTGAAAAATAGGGGGAATGGATGCTGAAGTTGGTAACTGCAAGCATTTAGCCACCCTGCCCAGTTTCCCTAGTATTGCAAGAGGACCATAATATCATGGTACCAGCTTCTTATTGCATTTGGCTGCTAAGGAGCACTGCTGGTAAGGTTGGATTTTACGAAAGACCAGTTCACCAGCCTGGTAGTCAACATCTCTATTCTCTCCTATCGTTGATCTACTGGGCTGCCAATTGTTGGGCTTTCATGATCTACTGGGCTTCGTGATTTATGTGGTGTAAAAATTCATCCTACTTTCATTTTTTTTAATATATATATATATCCATGAGTGTTCGGGCCAGTTCGCGTGCACCTCAACTAATCTCACGATAGCAACCTAACCCTACAACATTTGGTGCCGGGAAACCCATAGAAATTAATTCTTAAGGTAGGTGGCCATCATGGGATTTGGACCTATTCCCTCTCAATTTACCCTAACCCCTTTGGACCAATGAGCCACTCATGATGGTTTCATTTTACTTTTATAACTTAATTTTTACCATTGTAGCTCCCCTAGGTGGAAGAGGTCATTTTCCTCATATTTTGTAATTTCATCTGATCCATAAAATGAATGATTCTCATAAAAAATTATAAAAAATTTTCTGTAATTTCAAATAATTGAGGAGTGCATCTCTTTTACTAGCAAATTAGAGATGAGGGGAAACTATATCGAATTAGAGGTGGAGGTGGCGGACCATATAGTAGTTGGAAAGGATGACTTTCGATGATACATGGTTCAAAGTATTTTACCAGCTCTAAGCCACTCCATTTGGCCCAAGAATATGGGCTTTTCAAAGCAAAGCAATGTAAGCAGGTATATGATCTCTTGACAACCATTCTCTTATTATACGCCTTCAGCTCCCTTGCACCTCCTCCAATGCCCTGTAGTGATATTGCTGCAGAAATGTGGAAATGACTAAAGATCCCCTCGAAATCACCAACTGCCTTTGGTACCTCACATGATTAGACTTCAACTGAAATTATAGAGTAAGTACAGTCTCGCTTCTGCACTGCTTTCAAGAGGGGGTGGGGGGTAATCTTCCTGAGATTTCCCATAGGAAAATGTGTAAGAGAATCAGCTGCTTTACCTCTAAAATTATCTGATATTGGGTCCCAAAACTAAGCAGTTTTTCCATACTCACTAGTTCCAGCAAGGACTTGAGGCTTTTCTGATTTGTTTTTTGTTTAGAATATTACATCGATGGGTCCAGGAAGTAGTGAATCGTGATGCCTTAACCGCTGAGCTATGCCGGTGTTGGCTGCTTTTCTAATCTGTTTTAATCAAGAACGTCCATCCAAGTGAACATGGCACCACATTTGAACAGCTAGCAGGATAGCTATTATCGCTTTTTTATAAGCCGACCTCTGGTAAGCTTGATAAGATAGGACCAAACTAAAAGAAGCAATGGGTCATTGCACTGCATCAAAACTGCCACTACCCCATGTCCAAACGCATCAATCTCCTCCACAAAGTCCTTAAAAGATTCTCATAATTGTATCCCCTCCCCTCCATTGCTCCTTCAGAATACTTTTTCGTGTCATTCTTTCTCATAAACTCTTTTTCCTATCCATAATAATAAATGTTAACAAGCTATGGTGAGTTTTCATAATCTTTTTCGGGTACCTTCTGTGTTATCTCCATGATAGCATGAAAGATATCTCTCGTGAGTGTGGTCCTGAGTTGAGAGGCCCAGGCCATAGCACTGGTCCCAAATAATTTATTTTTTTAGAATATAGCATTGCGAATGTGAGACCGGAGAGTTAGTAATTGTTGAACTATGCTCAGTTTGTCCTTGATATATTATTCTCTACTTGTTGGCGGCTCAAACGAGTGTATTTGTTTGCAGTGTCTCTCTGTCATCCCTCTGGAAATCTTCAGATGGGTTATTGCGGGTGTAGCGGGATTCATGTCTGCAACATTTGTGGCACTCAATCTCCGAGCTCACATAAAGTCAGCTGGTGAAAGGTGGTTTTTGATTGTGGCCAGTATCTTCTTGCTGCAGTTAGCTCTTGCTGTCATACTCAAACTATATCTGTTTACTATTACTGTATAAAACTGAACTGCCCCACCCTTGATAAACATATTGTAGATTACAAAGAAGAATTCTTTTTTCTTTTTGGAGGGCCATTGGTTTCCAATACTTGGCATGTTTAGTAAACCATATCATTCATTAATTGAAAACAGCTTATATGTTCTATAAGATCAATGGATTCTACTATGTTTATTACAAGAACATGTATGATTTATCAATTTCTAATCTATCCTACTACATTTTCTCATCTCAATTGGTTGGTCTCTCATCCATGGGAAGGTTTGGACATATCTTCTCCAATCTCTCAAGGGGCTCAAACAAAGGTATGTGTTTTCTTTATTGTCCTTCTATATTAAATGATTATATTTTTTTGAGCTTTTTGAATCCTATTCGATAGTGATTTAAGGTCTGTTTGATAACTATTTTGATTTACTGATATTTGAATATTAAGCTTATAAACCCCACTTTTACTTGGATTAGATTTTGAAAATGTTTTTAAAACTTGAAAACTTGAAAAGTAGTTCTTTTGAAATTTGGTTGAGAATGTGTTTTGAGAGAAGGAAAAAACGGTTAGAAAGGAAGTATAAATGTTAAGAACAGAAATGTAAAAATGACATTGTTATCCGGTTTTCTCGTTTTATTTATTAGAAAAAGGAAAAAGTAGGTTTTATTTACTCCTACTAGTACAATCTTAGCTAATTTTAAAAAATGAAAAGAGGTATTTGGAAACTACATTTGGTCTAATAAATTTGGTTAGAATTTTATGGTTCAAAGCAGATTGCTAAAAGAAAAATGATCTTTTCATTCATATGGTGAAAAATTACAATATCGATGAAAAGATTGACATGTGAATGAAAATTTGGGGTCAATTCGATAATTTTCCTATTTCTTGTTTTTTTAGAGAAAGTAACTATTTTTTGTTTCTTATTTTTTTTATTAATAAAATGATGGAGAAGTGTGTTCGACAACTATTCTTTATTTTTATTATCTAAATAAAAAACAAAAGTTTTATATGAAGTATTCAAATTTTTTTTTTATATTTATTATACATATCTTATAAGTCAAGAATGATAAAGTAATGACTTTATTTATATTTTGAAAAGTCAAAGCGAGCATGGTTTAGCAGCAATTGAAATATATCTCCAATCATGAGTTCGATGATCCACCCCACATATTGTACTAAAAAAATTTATATTTTGAAAAAGAATTGAAAAACGAAAACAAGGAAGAAGAAATAAAGTAAGAAATTTGATTTTGTTATTTTCAAAATTCATATTCAACTTTATAAACATTTCTTAAAATGAGAAACAGGAAATATGAACAATTTTCTAATATTATTTATAAAAACTCGAAAGAAACAGAATCGTTATCATGGAATGATATGATATGATGTTGTTTGAATTTAAAGAAGATTGTTGAAGTTGGATTTGATTTGATAAATAGAGGTGGTAGTGGCTACATGTGTGTCTATGAGTTGTCTTGTTTGGTTCTCATTTCAAATATATTGTCCTTTATAAATTTTGCATCAATGGGTGGGACCTCATTTTCTAATTATTTTGCTGCATTTATTTGGACTCATTTGCCCTAATTATGCTTGCTACTGTTATCAACTTCATTATTATATGTCACTCAACACCTTTTGGGATTCCTTCCATTAGATCTATATAGATACTATGATATATCTTGCTTTTGGAAATTAGATTTGGAGAATTCTTTTATCTCTGAACAATTTTAAAGTGTCGATTTGGAAGGTAGTTTGAATGGTCGAAGTATTAGTAGTTTTCAGATTTTGTAATATTATATTTTCAAAAGATTTTGAAGTCTTTTTACTTAGTTTTGAAAAAGTTAAAAAATTCATGTTGGTTCATAAATTTTTAGGTTCGGTCTATCTTGATCTTTGAACTTTCAAAATGTCTATTTTGCTTCACGTGTTTTAGAAAAATAACCATTTTAGTTTTTGAAGATTCGTCGTGAACTTTAAAAAGTTAACCATTTTTTATCAATTATCATATTATTTTGTCACCTAAGATTCGTTTATATGCTCATGTACTTAACACGTTAGTATATTTACTTGGAGCAACATTATCGATTTATTAAAAGTTCAATAAAGGGAAGATCCAAAATTGTTATATTTTTTTAAAGTTTAGATACAAAATAGATATTTTGAAAATATAGGAATCAAAACGGAATAAATCTAAAAGTCATAAAGTAGTCGAGATTAAAGTGGACATTTTAAGAGGGTGGGACTAAAATAAGATTTGTTAAAAATACACAAAAATTTTGAGTTTTTAATTTGTTTAAGAAATTAAATAAATGTTTCTAAAAGTATGATGACAATACAAAAATATATTAGTTGAAGTTTAAATTCTGAACTTTCTTGGTTCATTATCATTCAATTTAATAAATTATTTGACAAGTATACAAAGACACATCTTTTGTTTATTTATCATAACAATAAATGTCTACAAGTTTTTGCAACTATATGGTAGGTTAGCTGTTGGATTGCTAAATGTATTTAGGTTTTTGCTTAAAGATTAGTGAAAAATTAAAGCTAAACATATTAAATGGTCTTTAATTTTTAAGTAGTGATCAATTTGGTCTTTAATCTCAATTAAAAAAGAAAGTCCTTACTCTTTTAAAATTTTTAATTAAAATTTTAAAACTTATGGTTCTAAATTTTAGAGGTTGAATCAATGATTGAGTTTTACCTTAAATTTAGCAACCATTGATACAATTAGTCAAAAATTATAAGAAAATATTTTGAAAAGTAGGAGAGAAAAATGGGGTGTTTTTTATTAATAATGTTAATAATAAAACTTATTTTAAAAATATTGTATTTTAATTAAAATTATTTAAAATATGGTATGTTTTGAAACTTTTTTTTAAAAATACAGTGGTTTTAAAAAAGTAAGGGATGGTCGTCGACCATGCAGGAAGAGACGACCATACAACGTGGCGCCACCTTGGACGACCATCTCATTTATTTATTTTTTTATTAATCGTGGTCGTCTCTTGACGACCACATTATTTTTTGTTTAGTATTTTTAATATTTTTAAATAAAATACAAATGATTGGGTATATTTATTTATTTATTAACTAAAAATTCACTTTAATCTCTAGTTATTATTAACTATATTAATTAAAAAATCCCCTCAAATATATTATTAATTATATTTTTAAAATAAGTTTTATTATTAATTATATTATGATGTGTAAACAAAAATTATGATTTTATGATTTTCTTATATAATCATGAAGTTATCCATGTTAGTTCAAAATTGAAAATTAATATTATAAATAAGAGAACAATGTTTGTAGTCCGTCAATTTACAGTCTATCGATCTAATC